GCTCTTCCAAGTTACCCAGTGCTTTTCATCATGACATTCTGAAGAAGTTCACTGACTCAACTGTCAGCCATGAAAAATACACGGAGACCTTTGTGCAATGCAGAGCACACACTCTGTACATGTACACACAGTATGAAAGCTTTTTAAAGATAAAAGCTTAGATAACTTTTGAAACATAAGCAAATCAGAACTTATACTGCCATCTTGTAGATATTTAACAGCTGAGCTGAAAGATATTTAACAGCTGAAAGAGACATCATTTTGTGTGCTAGTCTTGTGTTCACTATCTACAAGAACTCCTGGGAAGCTGGATACTACAGCCTAGTTTGTTAAAGCAGCATCTGTTGGATGTTATGCTCTAGTGGAAAAGATGGGCGCCTAATAGAGAGATGTAATGACTCTCAACACATAATGGACCAAACTTGGAATTCTGCTAACGCAATGAAATGGATCAGCTTGCAGTCAGGTCAGCCACGCTTAGTGCATACAGACTTGTATGTGACAATGATATTCATTAATATCAGTTTTACCACATACCTATAGCACATCCACTTCTTTTCAAAACGAAAAGAACCAGCTCTACCCCTGCAGAAACAAGCTCTCAATCCCTCAACCCCCACCAAAAATTATGGCTTGATATGCGGCTGTCAAGGCTAACAATATGATACATACTTTGGCATGATAAAAATATATTTACATTACAGCCAATACATTTATATGCTTAGTGTATACAAAATATTTATAAATGCAAATTTATTTACAACTAGAGTCCGTTATTCATAGGAGAAAACAATCCCCAAAGTTAGACTGATTACAGTCTCCTGCCAACAGTCTAAAGAACAAAAAGCTGGCCAAGAGTTTTATGCTTACAATTACTGGGGAATTCCATGAGGAGGCCCTGAACATTTGTTTTCAAGCAGACAATGCGGCGTGAAATAGCTATGCATTCTTGAGAGATTTTCAAAGCATGCACTAACACAAAGGCTGTTTCCAACATCAGAAAAAGCATGTTTTAATGCTATTGTTGTGGATATCACTAATCATTCATGTGTAGTGTTGCACATTCCCATTTTCCAATGCACATTAATCCAAGGAAAAAGGGCATGTACCACCTCCTTCTAGGGAGTCTGTCTCGGTCTAGTCAGCCTGTAATTGTAGATACGCGTACCAAAGCATCTTTGGCCTTGGGGCTAGTCGTGAGGTAGTAAATACAAAAAGTCAGTTGATATGGATATGCTTCCAAGACTTCATTTTAGTGCCTTATGTGGTTTCACTATGGTCCTGAATGTTCCGCGTCCTATTAAAATCAAAGTTATGTTCACGTAACCTGTGGCAAGGTCTGGGTGAAGCAGCTTGATCCCGGTCACTGTCAATAATGCCCTCACTTCGAAGAGGTCGTGGGGTCTCACGGGCTGACTGCTGATGCAGAAAGTGTGAGTGAGACAGCCCTAGGTCCTTGTTTACTCCCCATAAAGGAAGCTGAAAGGGTTCTGAGGAAGAAAAAATAAGAGATGAGCAGGAATCTGAGTTCATGATAAATACATCCAAATTTTGGATAGATTTTTTGAGTCATGTGGCTTAGCAATAACCATCTTCCTGAGATTTTTTTCTCTGTTGTTGGGAACATATTTTACTGGATGCCCTCCCATTTCAGCAATCTGTTACAGTAACCAGAAACAACATACTTAGTTTCAGTGTGGTTTAAAAAAAAAAAAGGCTACCTGGAAGAAAGTCAACATAAAAACATTCAGTTTATAACAAAACTCTCGTGGAGTACTTTGAAACTCAGCCCAGCTCAAACACAAAAGTGCTATTTGGATTTCCTACGTGCAGCTTTCAATCTTGGCAAAGATGTCCTCGAAGTACATGTAAGGGATCATATTTCACAAGCTTTAAGAGACAAACTGCAGATTAAGACGTGCTATCATTTTAATGTCACTCTCCTCAACTCTTGGAAGTATTGGATGCAGACTGCATGAGGGCCAGTTCTGAGAACAGGTGGTGAATAAGTAGATGACTTATTCCATACGCTATGGCAACTTGATGAATTAACTGTGCACCAACACAGAATGGCACAATGAGGAAGGCCAGAGCTATCTGGTAATAGAAATCAAAATAAAAGGGAATGGGACACACTCACCATTGATCTGCTGGGAAGAGATTTTCTTCTCACTTATTCTATCATGGTTGGTGAGGAAGACAGACACGTCTCTGTCTGCTATAAGATTATCAAGAGCACTGGTGTCATGCTGGGTGCGTGCTGTGTATGTTTCCTTAGGCATCTGCACCATGAGATTAGAGAGAGTTTGGTCAAGGGGGTCTTCTTCTGTGATGTAGGCATAAGGACAGTATTCTCGGGTCCTGGAGTAGATGTTTGCATTGTCATAACAGTCTGAGCAGATCACCAGCGGTGCTGTGCCACCTGACAAACATGGCAGAAAAAACAGATATTCTCTTAAAGAGGGGAAGGATACTTGATTTCCACAAGTTCACTGCTCCAGCAGGTCCAACTAGCTTAGGCACCAGGCTGAAACAGTCCTGCATCAAATCTGGATGCCTATCCACATACGCCTATATGCTCTGAGAAGCTCACTTCGTACCAGACAAGACAGGAGCAGCTATACCTGTACTCTGCAAGCCCACACATCTCAGACCAGGTGAGACAAGCTGTTCCTCAGTTCTTTTGCTGAGAAACTCCAGTATGATAGGACTGCAGACTGGAGGGAATGAATCATGGGACACACATGAAAAATTTATACTGAAGGATCACTTTTCAAAGTCAGCCCACATAAGGATCAGATGGCTCCTCAGCATTTGGGTGGTAAAAGTAACATCTCTATAGACTCAATGACAAAAATATTATGAAAATAAGTCTCCAAACAAGGTAGAAAAATAGTATAGGCCCTTTGGCAGAGTAGATGTCTAGCTGAGGCTGTAATCTTATTTTAAGAGCAAAAGATAGAGCAAGTCATATTCCAAGTGAACTTTCCTTCTACCTCCATTCCAGGAACTTTTGAAACGCCAAAGGAAAGCCGCAGCATAAAAAAAAAAAAAAAAAAAAAAATCTACCTTGACCTTTAACCTAGGAATTTCTCTAAGACCACCACTACCTTGCTGAGAAGATCACACACCCTGAAGCAAAGAGTCTCTACGTGGATCCGTGCTACTCTGGGACCCAAAGGACTGCAGTTACAACATCTACATTCAAAGGCACTCAAAGCAGATGTGGGCCCAGACGTTGCTGGATCAAAGATTAAATTGTGTGCATGGAATGCAAAAGCCTTGAGAGCAGAATAAAAACAAATACTGGAAGAAAAACAAGAGATGCCTTTTAAGCTCACAGCAAATCTCAGGATCAACTTGAATTTTTTTCTAGAAAAAGTCACCTTTGATGTTAATATGCAGTACTACCCTGCACTGTGCAACACTGCTGCCAGTTACGAGGACTGGAGGGTGCACTGGCAACCTGCCACGCGAGTGGTAACACGTGAGGGCTATGCTTACCATCTGTGCCTTTATGCACGTAGCCACTAGCTGGAGGCATAAGCTGCTGATGGCTTCCTGCCTCTGAGTTACTGTAGCCTTCCTGAGGCTCTGACAGAGTTCCTTGGGAGGATAAATAACTGGGAATGTCTGCAGGTAGGTTCATCTCCTCTGCAAGGCAGAATCAACACTGATGACATTAACAAATAAGTGTGACGATCCCAAAATACCACCAACACCATCACCTGCGTTAACACAAATGTAACGCAGAAATTCAACTTACACGATTGCCTTTTTGCTACCTCAGAGATTAAAAATCTATATAGCCAGTTCAAAACTGGAAGGGCCAGAATAGACATTTATGCACTTTATTCCAGGTCCTGAAGACATTTTTAAGTTAATTCAAATACTAATTTATTTCCAAATTTGAATGTTTTCCCTCAATGTAAAACAAATCTAGTGTGTAAGGAATAAATACATGATTAATATTTAAAACCTCTAAACTTGCCTCTTTCTCCTAACAAATAAAGAAATTAGAGCAAATCCCTGAAGAGATTTGAGAAGGAAAAACATCACTCCAAACATTAATGTTTGCCAGTTCCAAGGAATCCAGAAATTTCACCATTCTAACAAACGTTTGGGGTTTAAAAAACAGCACTAATGGATGTTACTTTTGACATTTACCTGTATTAGTGATGCTGTAGTCTTCACTCTTCCTTCTCATGTGATAGATCACAATAACCCATACCAGAGAAGTTCCCACAACACAGCATACCACAACAATAATCACAATGCCAACTGTTGTCCAGCCATCGTCTTCGTGGATGATGCCACTCTGGGAAGAATCACAATTTGGGGAAGCCAGGACATTTAGGTAAATATGGCCACGCTCAGTGCCCAGAGTGTTGGACATTATGCACGTATACTTCCCAGCATCCTCTAGTCCAGCATCCACAATGATAAGGAGTTGATTGGCTGCAGCGAAAAAGTGCCGTTCTGTCACTGTTAAAGGCCCATCATCTTTAGTCCAGTTGAGGCGAGGGGCAGGACTGCCACCAGCTATACATTGCAAGACAGCAGTTTCACCTCTGGTTACTGTCCTGTCTTCCAGGGGCCTAACGAAGGAAGGAGTTTCTGACAGTGGGGACAAAAACAAACACAAAAAAAACAGGTGTAAGATAACATCACAGTACAGCAACACCATGTGTACTCCATGGGATATAAAAACACCTTGTCTTACAACCTGAAAATAAACTTGAGCAATGAAGCACAGGAGTCAGGAAATCCCAGGAGGTTCTCTCTTCTATGGATCACTACAACAAATGAAGGTACAGCAAGTGTCCTGAAAATGATTCTAGCCGCATTAATCCCTCTGCTTTATGTATTCCAATTTGAAATTTGCATATGGCTAACATTAGAAGTCAGTGTTTTCAAGAACTACTGCACTCCAGAAGGAACTGTCCTGCCCCTATTTCTCAGCACATTTCATGTTACCTGTGACTAAATTCGTCCCAAGACGACACAAAAATTATCTAGTCTGTGCTGTTGGATTGATATATGCCCTCCAATTGTCTCCTGCAAAGACCATGCTGACTTCACTGGTCGCCACTTTGGCTTCTCATTGCTTCTGCTCAGCCAAATCCTAGTCTACTTTATATCTGTTCTCCATCTGTGGCTTAGTTTCTAAAGCTTCACCGTTCCAACAATCTTGTCAAGTGCGGCATTCAAATCCCCCAAAACCATGCAAAGCAGTTGCTACTTTGCTGCTCCAGAGAACACATAGCATCCTTTATTTCTTTATGGCTGGGGGGGGGAAGCCTGGGGGGGGGGGGGGGGGGGGGGAAGGGACATGTTTGTTTTTGAATGTAGATTATAAACGTGCTTCTTTTTCTTTTCAAGATGGGCAATGGCAGAAGGTTATGGTGCTTCCTGGGGGGGGGGGGGGGGGGGGGGGGGGGGGGAGAGGAGGTCTTCTCTTGTTCCTTACTGCAGAATATCATCTACAGCCGGAGAAAGAGGACACTACGCTCTTTGTATTTTAATTTAATTCTTCAGGACTTAAGCCTGCTACTTACAGATAAGCTACACTACCGCTGCAGAAGTGAAATGATCCATTCAAGCACAGATAAGCACATTGCTTACCTAGCACAGTCAGCGTGGCATTTGCTGACAAACCACCTGCGATGTTTTGTGCCATACAGCTATAGATTCCCATGTCTTCTATTTTTACATTTGCAATGAAGAACACATCATCCTCAGGCATGACGTGCATCCTCCTCTCTCTTGCAGCAGGGAAGTCAGTGCCACCATCTTTCTGCCAGGAGATCTGGGGAGTAGGGTGGCCCTCTGCAGCACACTCCAGCCGGGCCATAGCTCCAATGCGGATAGTAAGATCCATGGGAGTTTTCAGGAAGGAAGGCAGTTCTGGATCAAAGGAGACCTTACGGTATCAGTAATTTTAGTACCAAGGGAAAAGCAACAAAAGCTCCCTAATACATAATGTCTGCAAACAAATCTGAGACACACCTGTAGTTCTCCCTGGTCAAGGCAGACACTTCTGAAGAGCTGCACAAGTTCTCAGTGGTCATTTCTAATAGCCTAGCCTCCAAACGTAAATATACTTACAGCGTTCATTTAAAATGATCTGATGGACAAACTGTCTCATGAAGAGAAGAGAGAGATAAGCTTTCACCTTAAGTCCTTTGCAATGCTTTTTCTTCCTCTATAAAAGGGAAGGTGAACTTCATCTTTGCAGCTAAAAATTTGTATTACATGTTCTTGACAAGCAAAAGCAACACAGGCACTTCTACTCTCAACTATAATGGGAGATCAGTGGGTCAGTAATCTACTGACTGATGTCAACACTGACATAAACGAAGGAATTCTTCATTATGGCTAAAGACCGAGGACTTCATACTGGATTTTTCAGAGTTTGTTTCCCACCCCACACTTATCTCTAGTCAAGTCTTCCCTAGCTTTGCAAGTATATGGGGAAAGCGCCTCGTTCTGATGAGGCAGCAGAGGGAGCTTTTAGTTCAAGAGACTTCTGCCTCCATTCAAATAGATGAAAAACTACCTGAGTTATAATGAAAGTATGGGAGACATTTGCCCTTTTTCAAAGCAAAGAGGAGGCTTTTCACCCACAAAAACAAGTCACTTTATAAAAAGTTGTCTGACGCTTCTAAATACCAGTGATACATTCTTGCACGACTGTGGTTTGGGCCAGCTCTAGTTGGGAACTAAGGAATATGAGCAGATTTTATAAAGCAAAGTGAAAAGCAGATTTGTAGCTATTTAAACAAAGATTTAGGTTAAGAGTGTTTCTTCTTTGTTACCATTACCGCTTACCATTGACAGTCAGTTTGGCTTTGTTAGAATAATTGGAGCCAAAGTGATTGGTGACGATACACTGATACTTTCCTTCATCAGTGAAATTCACATTGAAAAGATGCAGGACAGTGGTATACTCAACAACCTCCCCACTTTGCTGCTGATATCTGGCAAAATTCTCAACCTCTGCATCATACAATACTTCGCTGTCTTTACGCCAGGCAGTGGACATGGGCGAATCACTGCTGCTCACAGCAGTGCAAGTCAGAGTCACGTTCATGCCTCGCAGAGCGATTGTGGTCTCAGGATGTACTCTTATCTGTGGTTTAGGGAAGTTATCTGAAAATAAAAGCATCAAGATTAGCTACTTTGCTCTTCAACATTCAGCTCGTATTGCAAGAAAAGTCCCTGAAAGACAGCGTAAGCAGAACAAAAGCTGTAGAAACAGATATCCTGCTTGGGGTGCATATAGTCAGCTATTTTCTGTTGGAAAACAAGCTGTGAAAGACAATTAGAACCACAGGTAGGAGCACAGCATAAGCATTGAGAACAATCAACGTAAAAAATACGGTCTGGAGCACTGCCTCATATTTTCTACAACTGTCTGGAACTTGCTATGTTTAGATCACACACAAAGGCCACATTTGGCCAAAGAGCCAGTGTCACTTTATGAAGGGTAGACTTTAAGGAAATGGTATTTTTCAGATAGTTTAAACATCTTGAAGATAAGCCTTTAAGTTCTGCAAGTACAAAGCATAGCAAGCGAGGAGTTCACACTGCCTTATCCCACTCAAAGAGTTATTTCAACACCCATCATTTCAGCAAAGACATTCTTGTAAGCATACATATATGGTTCAGTGTCAGGGTGGTACTATTACAATGGGGAAGTGGGTGCTTGCATCTCACTTTTACCACTGAAAGAACGAAAAGAATCGCATATACACCAGGCTCTGCTTGAGATCTGCCATAGACTTCACACATGACCCTGGCCAAAGAGACTCTCAGTTTTAGATGTGACAGTTCAGTTACAAGAACAAACAGGTTTATGTCTGAAACTCTGGTGGCAGAGACTAGATAAACATTGCAGATACAGAGCATCACAAAACGTGCCAGAGTATCAACTGTCTAGCCTTGCTGGGTACAGACAGTACCAATAAGGAAGTGCCAGATAGCTTTTATAAAGCAAAAGCTTTTATATACTTCAGAAACAGTAAGAACAGAAACGTAATCAGTTTTAACAGTAATCTAAAAGGACAACAATGCAGTCTCATAGGATTTCTCCCTCAGCTTAGTTTTAGTGCTCAAATACAACAGAAAAACAGAAGAAAAGAAACAGAATGAAATCTAAAATCCAAAGGCAGACCAAAACATATACAGTCCCACGCATGCACTATGGCCAAGGCCAAGTACGTCTAGCAGTGCTACAGCTTGGTTTCAGAAAGGTACCTGCAGAGATTTGTGTTACTATGTTTTTATATCAAAAATGATTAAAAATACAAACCACAGACAAAGTCCTCAGGGTCCACACTGAGAAGGCTTTGTCCTGCTAACCATTCAGGGTAAGCACAGCTAACGTTTACAGCCTGCTGTAAGTGGCTATCAGTGAGCCACTGCGGCAGCCATTTCAACTGGCAATCACAAAGTAAGCTGCTAGTGTTCAAAATCCTGCAGAAACAAGGCAAGATGAAATAGTGATTAAAGTTTGTTTATTTCACACTCCTGCATGGGATTTCATCCACCAGAAAAGACTTTAAAAGCATATACTTTCAGAAATGAAGACTTACAGTATTCTTCTATGCCTACAGGTCTTTGTTACATAATGTTAATTATATATGCTATAAACAGTCCAGAAAAACAAATTTGTATCAGCATTAAAACATTTTTTAAACTTCTGAGGAAAACAGCCTTATAGTTTTAACTTTGAAACAAAGTATTAAGCATGTCTTTACAATTACCTCATTCCTCTTTAAAGCAGTTTTAAAAAAAAATACACAACACTGCAGGCCAGCTCCATCTCTCATACTAGATATTTGCCATTACTTTGTGGATGTAAGCCTCAAATCTCATTTTCATGCCAGCTAATAAATATTTAAGAATGAAAACGAGTCGTTTCACATAGGTGCCTATCGCAGATTTTTTCTTCTTCTCTGCTCCAAGAAAACAATGAGGAAGGAGGATGGGAAACATTGATGGGCCACTTCTTCCTCAGCACATGCTTTCAAAGTATCCTAAATCTTGAACAAAACTACTACTGACTGGAGAGCAAGTCCAGTACTTTAGCAAGGGGGTGATCTAACACTTAAACGAATCTGGTAGACCTGGAGTGAAAGAGAAGAGGGGCATGCAGAAAAGCCAGGATTCCATCCTGCCATTTGCCCATACAAACTGTCTATGCCTCATTTCTAATACACATAAGAGAAGGCAATGGAAGTCTTAACACCTAAAATGCCTCTCATCACCTTCTTTCTCACACTGGTAGAGATGAACTAATTGGATAACAGTTTTAAAACAGATTACACAACGTTCAGAGACCTTATCTCATAGAAAGGGTTGTGTTACTCTCAGATTAGTCTTAGGTACAAAGGTCACTTCACGTCATAATACTTCACGTGCCTGAAGATCACAAGAGGCTATAGCAGCTTAAGTATCTGCTGAATAAGTAAAAACTCTTGAAGTCTATAAGGCCTTTTCCTAGCCCAAAAATGGGAGACAAAACAGAGGGCTCACTGAACTCCCAAAAAGATCCCTGATCAAACATTTTTTTTGTTCACTGGTTACATGCCAGCGTATGCTGAGTTTAATTTATTTGAACCAAAGCCTCAGCCACCTTCACTGACCAGATATCAGGTCTGAACAAGCACGGATTTTATTCTGGAGGAAAGAAGGTTCAAGGGGGCATAAAGAAGTTAGTGCTTTCATGTTTTAGTGTTAGAGGGGTCCACTGAAGAGCCAAAATTTGTTTTAAAGCAGAAGAACAGTGCTAAGAGGTACATCATATATTGTAACAGCCCCCATCACTGACGTGCTAGCAGGAGATAATAAAGTCTGTTCTGAGTTGAAAAAGGAGTATTATTCATTCCAGAAATGCTTACAGAACATCAAACCTAACTTCTCATCATTCAAAAGTGTTTTCCAATCTTGCATTTCAGGCACCAGTGTTCCACTTACTTTACAGTAATATTTTAAAATACGTTTCTGTCAGATTATAGCAGACTACAATCCTAATTTTCAGTCTAGTCCCATGACGCACAGGACACCACCAAGCCAGCAGAAACAATTTTCTGCATAGCTGTAGAGCCAACTAGAGACCCTGACACCAATCACATCAGGAGGCAGGATGAACATTTAGCCATAACTCTACGGATCATAGCGCTACTTTGAAAACCCAGTACTAGTTCAGGTGATCTCGTTAAATATCTCCAATGCAAAAATGTAAGGCATGGAAAATCTACGGTTTAACATGGCAAGAAAATTTATTTTATATTAACTGCAACTCAGAAAACGGAGGGGCAGATTTTAGTAAACCTTTGATCAAAATAAGTATACTGTCACTGACTTTTATTCAACAGTTTATTAGCATTGCCTTAAATATTTCGTGATGAAAACGGGATGCACTTTAGTCAACTTTAGCCAATCTTACAAGGGACAAAGTAGAACGAACTGTAAAGAACCAACGTGAACTTACAGCTCCTTCAGAGGTGCCTGGGCAAATGCATTTTCTTGGATGGACATGACTGCATTGTTACTTAGATCCCTGTAAGTTAAGCAAAGAGAAACATAATGGATTGACTTGATTGCATATACTACCATCAGACAGTTAGGTCCTTGAAATTCCGAAAGGCATTACAAAGATGAAGAAAATAAATAACTAGGACCTTTACAAAGCAAAGAACTTACAAATGTTCAAGTCCTTCAAGACCAGAGAACGCTTTCTTCGAAATTGACTTAATCTGGTTTCCTTGCAAGATCCTGAAATACACCCCCCCCGAAACCCAGAAAACAGACTGAATGTCAATATGAGTTCAAGAATAAGTTCAGTACTAAGGGCTTTCTAGCTCTAGTTGAGCTACAAGACCGCATACTATTTTTTGAGCTTAAAGGCTCAAAGAATTTTCACAAGAACAGGTTTTCTTTTCCATTCTTTACGGGTTTAGGTTAGATACGGGTCAGAGGATCAATTTATGCTAGTAGAACAAAGCATTGATAAGTAAAACCTGGAACAGAACAATAACCTCCAAATACCGGTCTGCCACAATCACATTAGTTCCTGAGTCAGCACCCTCATACTGAGCTACTTGTTGTAAGTGGTGTCTGTAGTTCCATAGGATTCCTTCTTATAAAGCACATAGCTCTGCATGAAGAGAGAACAGCTGAAGTACTCAAAAGCTGTTAACTCACTGCTGTTTTGGATTTGGTCAAAAAGATTTTTTTTTGGAGAAGGGATAAATTTTAATCAAATTAAATAAACGCAAAAAGTGACAACCATCATATAGCAGGACTGGGCTATTCAATAAAAAAATGCAGCTGAATACTCATGCTTAATTCCTTCCAAGTGGTACTGCCAAGTGGTCCAGCCTACACAAACCCAAAGGTACTGGACATGGAACCCTAACCTGTACAGAGAGGTCCTAGCACAGAAGGGGTAACACACTGAATACAACTGCCAGTTCACTTTCCCTCTAATTCTGCTTGCCCAGGAAATACTGTCATTTCAGTCATTTGTAATACATACAGTTTATCAAGTCTGCCAAGTCCTGCAAAGGCTTCATTTGCATCTTCTATGGCCCATGAGATCTCATTGTTCCGCAAATCCCTGTAGGAGTGGAAGAGTCGTCTTAAAAGCCTTGGAACATCATCATGACCACTGCTAGCAGCTAACCAGGGAAGAGAATTTACTGTTGCATATGCCTAGTACGGTGTTCTGGGACAGCGTCACCTGAAAGGTCTCAAATTTTTATATAACTAAGCTTGTCAAAAGATGAATATTCCATTTTAGGAATGCAAGGGAAAACAGAATTGTTCAAGATCAGTGCCTCAGATAGAACCACAACAAATCCTGAAGTACAATTTCTCGATACGGTATTCAAGGAAAGACCCAGTCTGACTAGCAATTGTCATGTGACGGACTATTTACCAGAAGCTGGGAGAGATTCCTGAAGCAAATTGGTTCATTGGTTAAGTGAATTAACCAATATACGAGCAGCGTTAATCTTCCTGAGTAACAGGCTTATAATAGCATTAGCATATTAAGAGATTACACACAGGTTATAGTGTAAGGCTGCCAGGCACAAAGTAGTAGATTTTCAGAATGAAGTTGTTATTCCGCTCACAAATCTTGTTACCAGCTAATGGGATTTCTGTTTGACCTCTGCATAGCACTTCTGCCCCTTGCATAGACTAAACAGCAAAAGCAATATAGCAATACGGTTTGGAAAGGATTACACGTTTTTCTGAGAGACAGTGAGATAAACGCAGAAGCATTTTCAGACTGAAAGGCATGGAAGAGTGAAGAGTTTTCTTTAGAGCCATAGTTTTCATCAGTCTGAATACCACCATGGATAGCAGTATTCGCAGACATCAGTCTTTAAAGGAAGATACACTGATGAAAAATAACACATACTGCATTTTAGTAGATACTACATGTATCGGCTTGATGGAGCTTCCAAACACATCAACTGCCACAGAAAGCTACCTACACATACAGACAGTTGTATGTCTCTCTTAAACACTTCTTTCCTCGTGCTAATAATGGAAAAACGCAGTATCTACTTTCCCCTGGGTGAGATAAATTACGTGGATTACCATCCTGAAAGAGATCAGAAATCAGCCTCCAGGATGTTGTCAGTGGTAATGCATCATTTTCTTGTTTTTCTTACTGTGAAATATAGAAGTCTTTTCTTAATGCCCTGCAGCAGTCATTCCCACGATTAAGATACGTACTTTAAAATTTAGGACGAATAAGAAAAGAGCGCTCTTAATTCCATTATTCATACGTCACTTACAAGAAATTAGCCAACACAGCCTTGACGCTGGCTCACACTAAGCGTATTCCTCCTTGAAAAATTATTCAAGTTTAGATCAAATCCATGTTGAGTATCTTATGAGAAGAGCGACCAGACGAGTAGTATGCCAAATTTACTCCCGGATTGCTAAATCTTATGACTTGAAACTAGTTTTTAGAATTCTCTCCAGGTTTGCTTCAGAATTTTATATTATGAATGCTGGAACGGTATCAATGCTGAGCTACTCACAAGTATACAGAAAAGCTATGAAGTAAACACAGTGATAAGATTTAAAACTTCAAAGGTTCAGTGCTATTCTGAGATACACCCTTAATCCTACCTTGCTTTTATTAGCTTGTAGCTTATATACACAGTTTCTATAGTATCTTGCTCTAGTTCTCTTTTAAAGCTATCTTGCAGAATAGTGGCGAGAACTGAACAGAGAGACAAATAATTATGTCAGCTTTAACACCGATACAACCAGAATTGTAGTACAGACAACAATGGAAATAATCTGACAGCTGCACAACCTATCTTAGTGTCTGAAGGACTTACACACTCAGACTATTCAGACCACTTAACAAAAAGCGTGAGCAACCCAAAAAGAAAAGCCCCTCATTGTGTGAGATGAGGAGTTTGCTCCTCATGCTTGGCTGGGCACGAATGCCTGGAGCCCTGTTAATCACCAATGCCCTCAGTCCTGCACATTCCAACCCTGAAGCAAATGGCCAGCCTCTCAGCTGTTTGATGCCCCTGAAGAGCCCAGGAAAGCCTACTAATTAATCTGCTCTTGTTCTTTTTCATGCTACTCTAAATCTAAGAAATTAGTTCTAATTATTTCATTAAAAGGTTGCATTAAGGTTAACAGAATATGACTGCTTACATAAGTCTCTCTGGTGAGTTTGCTTATTTAAGCATTTATTTAATGAACTGACAGAGAGGTTATAAACTTTCACTCCTTTCTCAACTACCATTGTTTAGGATGATTACAAGTGTTCAGATCTACTTGGGACTTTTTTTTTTTTTTTTTTTTTTAAAAAGAACCAGGATTAAGTCTTTTCTTGTCAGAAATATCAAACAGGTTACAGGCTGCTAGCAAAGGTCTTGGCAAATACAGAGCTCTCTCTCTGATGGTAAGAAGTACTCCTCCATCTTTCCTCTATGCTACGCCTATGACTTTAGCATGCAAGCAGGGTGGGCAAAGCCGCACCTTTTATGACTTGCAGGATTCAGTTTGGTTTCTTAGGTTCCAATCCTAACACAATCTTTAGGAATAAAGCGAGGTCTGTACTGACAATTCATCCCATGACTCACACTTACACAAGCTGACAATCCACACCTTCTCTGAACTGGTATGACACACAACTGGGCAATCAAGGTCATCAAGCCACTGTTTTATATCACCACTAAAATTAAGTGGTGGTTTTGTTTCAACTATGCCAGGATTCTATCATCCCTGCAGACCAAAAATAATTAGCTCTGCCACACCTGAAGGCAGGAGAGCAATACAGCAAGTGTCAAAACACTGATCTCATTTAGGCTTGTACAGTGCAATATTCTTTGTCTTTAGTTCCAAAAGCTTTGCTGCATTGAATCAAATGAGATTTTAACTGCATGTTTTCTGTACTTACAAGGTTCGAAGATTTGTCAGTCCTCTAAACACACCATCAGCAATGTGACTAACTCGGTTGTCACCCAGGTTTAGTTTCTCCAATAAACTAAGTCCCACAAAGGCAGACTCCTTGAGGTGAGTTAGTTGGTTGTATGACAAGTCTCTAGAAACATTGAACGTACACTTTAAAGGCAAGCAAGTGGGATTAACTATGAAGATACTATCACACAGGAAGTCTTGATTAATTTCTAACAGAGAATATTTATAAAAAGATAAGTAAAATAGATAGCAGTTCCACAGACCTAACAAGTAAACCGAGCACTTTCTTCGGTAATTCATTCCTTCTATATGTGTGCTCTCTAATCTGTTATTTGTAATTGTATTTTGTTACAAAATCCCCACTGAAATTCAGCCCAGGACTTACAGTTCAGAAAGTCTTTGGCAGAACTCCCATGCATCTGGGTTGATCCTGTTAATGGCATTCTGGCTAATGTAGAGTTGTTGCAATATTCGCAGACCATACAGCCAGCCCTTGTTTACTTCTGTTAAGTTATTATGTTCCAGTTCTCTAAGGAAGTATAAGAAAAAACATTTGCCAAATAGACAATCAATGAAACACATTTACAGAATTTCACTTTGTGGATCTCAACATGATTTACTAACATTAAACCCGACAGAATCTGAAACACATGATTGTATTCATTCCACAGGAACCAAATGAAAGAACAAAAGCGTACAAAAAACGAGCAACACAGCCATGGCTACAGTGGTGTAGTGGCAGGATTGAAACCGTGGCCGTTTATTTCCAAATGTAAATGTTTCAGTTCTCAAAGATGACTTATTTTTAAAAAAATCTTTTCCTAAGCGTGCATGGCACATGCCCGTGCTATGTCAAAGAGTCACACGATAAAGAATCGTCCCACGTTATGGTGAGCGCGAATGCCTTCTTACAAAGCCCAAAAACACCGAGGTTAGAATACTCTTGTATTAGGTCTCCTACAGGTACGAAGGTGCAAAAGCAGTTCAAAGCACACCAAAAAATCAGAGAACCGACAAAATATCTTCACAAAACTGCAAAGAGACTCAACTAACAGAGCCAAAGCATTCTTGATTACGAATGAGAAAGAAGGTGGGGTGAGAGCCAGTCTCTCTTTACCTCTGAAGTTTCCAGAGGCATAAAAATCAAACGAATGGGAAAATACAGATCTGTAAACTAATTTCCTTGACGCTCATCAATATTTCAGCACAGCCTAAAATGTTAGGGAAGCCATACAGGAAATGACCTCCCCAGCTAAAGATCTTAAAGTAAATTCCATGACTAGGCATACTTACAATTCTTCTATATTATCCAGGCCAAAGAATGCTCCATCCATCAGTCTGCTAATCCCATTGCGCTGCATTTTTAATGATTTTAATGATTCCAGGCCTTGGAATGTAAGACTTTCCACTATTTTAATACGGTTCCTTTTCAGTTCCCTTACATAAAGATGACAATCAAATATTAAGACATCTTTTCATAAGCAACACTTCGTGACCATCAAGAACACATACCAAGGTGAGCAATACAGCTGTAAACACTATCTTTTTAAGCTTTCAAGAGTGCTACTTACAGAAACTGCACATGAGGTAATTTGAAGATCTTTGGTGGAATCACACTAATTCTATTTCTGTTTAGCTTGACCACCATTAGAGAGCTAGATAAGTTATCAAGACAGCCTGCTTCGAGGGTAGTTATTCTGTTGTTACTCAGATTCCTAGGAAAGTAAGAGGAAAAGAAGCTTTTCAGAACATGGAGAATATTATTAACATAATTGCACAAGAACTACTACAAGCAGCTAACTATTAACACTCAAGTTCCTTGTGCAGCCGCATCAGAAATCCAAATTCTGGTACCCTAAATTAAACCATTTTTCCCCACAAGAATCACTAGTAGGAGCTGATTTTTACTGCGTGCCCATGCTTCCATCAGGCACGGGTAGGATGTCAACACTGATCTACTCAAGATGAGCAGATTCTACGTCCCTGCCAGCTGAAATACCAGCACTTTGACATCAGCACTCATTGTTTTCAATACTATCTGAGAAAACACGATACAGACTTGGTATTAAAAGTTAAAAATATTTTATTCTAAGCACATTTGCAGCTACAGTGAGCACTGCGACCAGTTCAAACCCTTGCAGCTATACCGATAAGATGACAGTTACTTAGAGCAGATGAGGCCTTCAACATTATTGCTGTGGAGCCAGGAGCCTCAGACATAACAGATCACTCCTACTTACAGGTATTTCAGTTGCATCCGTGGGAAAGAAGAAGCTTTAATTTCTGAGATTAGATTAGAACTAAGATCTAGATTCTCCAATGAAAGGTAAACTTGGAGCTGCTCCGCATTTATTTCTGGAATTGTATTATGTACCCTGAAAAATACCAGCAACAAAGACGATTATCAAAATATCTCATCCTTCAAGTTGCACATCTGAAACAACTATAGAGTTCTGAGTATTAACGTTATTAGTGAGTCTCCTGAATGGGAAACGTAGCATACACTTCAGAGTGTTAATTCATAAAGCAATACTGAAAACCCAAGACCTATTTGCCATCTTGACATATGAATAGATTCAAGTTCTGGGGCCTGTAATTGGGCCGTTCCTTGTGGGAACTCTCATGTCCAGACCACCTCCCTCCTCTTCAAAACTGCCTGCCTTGGTTGACTGCATTTTATTGGTAATGTAGAGTGACTTGATTGTCCAACTGATTTGTATCTCTTTAAGAGCGCTTACACATTCCCTGAAGCACTTTAGACAAATAGTATTCTAAGACTAAATAAGTTATGTTTCCCTGCAACTTGACAGCAAAATTCTAATAATATTCTCCCATTCGCTAAAGAAAGGCAGAAAAAGGTAGACAAGCCATTGCTTACAATGAGAGAAGAGTTATATTAGAAGTTGTTTCTCCAAAGTATGGGATTTCACTTAGCTCATTGTAATTCATTTTCCTAAAAAAAAAAAAAAACAAAAAATATTATTGGCACTTAAAAGAGGAAAAATACTATTCTACAAAGCAGAATTAACTCATATCATAACTTTTAACAATTTTATGTTAATAACATGTAATAGTTGACAAAACAGATTCCTTAAAAGTGTGTTTAAATACTAATAATTTGAAAAGTTTCATAATGAAGTACACTATTTTTACCATTAAAAAAAAAGGATACTGTTACTTCTGTTTAACATAGAATTAGCCAAGGTCAAAACAAGCAGAAATCTCATTTCTTTTTAAAAATAGTTGTCTTCTAATTTTCTGTCAAAAAGCTTTCTGTACACAGAATACCAGAGCTTTACATAGGATACACTGCCAACATAGCATGCCCGTTTTTAATTAATCAGCACTGGATATTTCTCCAAATCAGATCAGATAACTAGATATGCATTAAAAGTCACAACTTTGAAATGTACTAATGTGAATTTTGGAGGAAATTTTTACTATCGAGTTTACCATAAACAATAACTTACACTTCTTGTAGTGTGTGAACAGACAAATCAATGCTCCAGTTAGATGACAACAAATGATTATGACTCAAATCCCTAGAGAACAAAGAAATAGGAAGTTATTCTAGTTTCATAATAAAAAACCCTGTATGCTTTATGCATCTATGCAACTTAAAAAAAGACAAGTTTTAATCCTTATTTTTGATATGCACAATTCCTCTGTCACTAAAAGGGAAAAGCTGCTTCTATCTTGCTCTACTGGTCCCTTACAGAAAAAAGTCCAGCCAATCTTATTTTTGTTTTAGTCAACTAACATGGTGCTGAAAAGGCTTTTTGAAAGAAAGATCATATCTGATGGGAATGTTTTTCCTTTAAATCACAGGTCTAACCGCGATATTTACAGTATCTCAAAAAGGAAAAACTTTCCAGGGAGGTGAAAATAATTTCTTATAAAATGCCTGTTATTGAAGAGTTTTCTGTAGCAACCACCCCTACTTTCTCAGTGCTTCTGAAAGAAGCCAACTAGTTACGGCAGGCTTATTTTAAAGCAGCAGCATACACACAATCACTAAACAAGCTGGAGTGGAGAGAAACACGAGGCTGGGAAGCTAAAAGAAGGGATGCTTTAGCTCCGTTGTTTTACTTATAGGAAACAAACACAGGAATTGGGTTGTTTCAATGGGCAAAAAAGTGATTAAGTCTGTTTATAATGGAATAACATCAACATCCATTATAGGCCATCTCTTAAACTTTGAAGAAGCATTTTGCTTTTACCTCAAACTTTGTGCATCAGTTGTTACAGGAAAAAAATGAGTATATTTCTGTAGGCTAACTCTTCAGGCATGGACTATCTCTTTTGGTGACAGGAGTCTAACGATGACCAAAAAAAATTCAAGTTTATGATGGAAACCTGGTTCTAGCCTTTCCTGTGCAGAGCGACAGATGTCATTCCATAAGGTTAAGCAAAACAATCCTTTCAGTGCATTTCTGGCACTAGGCCAGAAGAGAGATGAACCCCAAAAAGCTCGCGCTGACAGCCCAAGCGTGGCATGTTGGAACAGGGCTGGCAGCAGCAACGCATTTGTGAAACAGTACTGATAACCTCACCATCGTGAGCAACCTGTTGATAGGTGCAAGTATACTCAAACACTGTCTACAAAAAATCAAAAGATCTGTCTCTGCCATCTACTTGCGCCAGCCTATCAGTAAGGCATCATACTTCACACTCCCATTTTCACTTCTAACATCATGGATAAAGCCATGAAAGGGCTATTTTCAGCAATAGCTGTTCACCTTCTAACGAGCTCCCCTCCTGTGTCACTGATTTCTCTTGCACATGACTACAGAAGGAACACAATGTATATTTATTACAGATAGCTTTGAGAACATTAGGAGGGGCTGTAGTTACACTGACAAAGGAGACTCAAAGTTATCCTTAACAAAACTATAATGTAACTATTCAGCAAATATTAAAATACAATTGGGCATAGCCAAAAACATTTCCATTGAAAGCTAGGCTCAGATCACCACACCGCCTATGCGTACGTCTATTTTAGTAGTAACTGCTGGGCTTGCAGTCAAATTCAAGCAAATTTGGCTGTCAAACCTGTACAGATATGCAGCTCCTCCAAAAACGATAACTAGGTGCAGAAGAGGAATTCTATTAGTGCCCTGCTGAAGAAAGGGTTGCAGTGCAAATTCACTCCTCCCTGGTGACCAGTAGGTGTCCAGAGGCAGGTATTGACAAAAATGACAATTTTTGCAGTTAACAGGAAGAGAGCTTCAGCAAGACCTGACTCTGCTCATTCCAGCGCTCATGGTAGTACCTGTGTACGTTTGGTCTGTACCTCCAGAATCTACCGGGAGAGAGGAAGCGCTTGACACTATTTGCAGTGAACGCCTGCTCAGGCTCGCCGATAAAGATACAGCTGTAACAATGAATTACTAAAATCTTAGGTGTTGTGGCGAGTCAGACGGCTAGTAAACATGTTCCTTTCATTACATCAAGATGTAAACTACACAGATATAACAGCAAACTCGGGTTTGCAAGCAACTATTCTTTTCTACAGTAGAAAAGCATCTGAAGAGAAGAACAATGCACAAGCTGTTACTGAACGTTATTCTGCAGGCCTGCTCCCTCAATATACATAGTAATTAAGCCAATCCTAAACACCAATAACACATACAAATAACCGAATGTTAACCGCTGGCCTTCTTGCTTCAAGAGAGCCATGCATAGCGCGGGGGGCAGCCCTCTCCTAGTGCTCCACGCTTCGCCCACCAAGGGTGCTGGGCACCCTGCAGGCGCCACAGCCCAGCACTGGCCTGGCCCTCTGGAGCCACGCATAGCACGGGAAGGCCGTTCCTCTGATCTCTAGGGTCAGATTAATATTAACATCACTGGAAACATGATTGTCTAAGGCTTTCAGAAGGAATACAATGTTTCCTACCAGAACAGGCTGTGAAAATAACAGCTGCAAGTGATATCAGAACTGACTTGGGAAAAAGCGTAATTAAGAAAAAGAATGTTATTCATAACATTCAACATGAGATGAACAAATGCTGAGCTTCCCAGATTTCTATTACTTTCTAACAGCTTGAGACATGTTTTACAATCTATTGGCTAACAAGGCTGCTAAAACCTGCTTCCTTGTAGTAGTTCATCATCTCCAAATACTAGTCTGCAGTAGGAGGAGAAAAAGAAGTCACTTTTCCAGTCAGCAGCTACTGAAGAGAAGCTATTTCTCATCGTATATAGCGTTAGAACAGAGCATGCAACCAAGAGACCTTTCCGCTTTAGAAAAACCTTTACACCAAAAGCGTAGAAGAACAACTGGAACTATCTGTTCATGCTCTGACAGACTGCTAAATAGACTTTGGTCTTACTATTTCCTTTCTTTGAAGTACTTTCTTGGCATCAGTGGAGGACAATTCACTTGTTATCACAGAACTATATGCTAATTTCTGTTAAGTGTTAAGTTAGGCACTTTTAATCGAGACTACTAGATCATTACCTCCGTACATCAGAGACCATCAAAGTTCATAGAGAAAGTGATATTTCTCACCAATTCCCTTCATTACTCATCTCACCCAATGGCTCAAGAAGTTTTAGTACAGCAATAGCCTAAAGTCCCTGTCAATTCCTGGCTTCAAAAGGATGAGAAATTTAAAGTTCTGTTTGTTGCCTATACTTGCTGAAGATCTACAGTTTACACTTCGAACCAGTGACATAAAAGCCACAGTTCAGTTACAAACAGCAAAAAGAAACCACTTTTTAACTCTCTTGAGATTTAATGGGGTCGTCATGCTAATTCATCATCCTTACTCTTTTGAGGCAGTTTTTCAGCAGGCCAGTTATTTTCCATCAGGTCACTGCATAACGTCAGCCTCAGAGACACATGCCAATATACAGCATCTTGCTCAACAAAACAAACCCTATCAAGAACAGGATCTGAGAGAAGAACTGTTACTTTTCTCTTTAAAAATTGTGACTGGGAAAACACCCTTTCCTATTGCTATTGCACTGCAGGAGGAAAAGATGCCCGAGCTACCCTATACTGAAGTTCAAAAGCAAATTCTGTTCAAGTAAAGGCTCTGTAGAACAGACCAAACCTCAACGAAGAGTCACAAACAACTCTAGCTGATCTACAAGTGATACAACAAGCAGGTCTCCAGAAGAGAGGCTTAGAGAAGCGGCCACAGGGACTCACGGTATCAGGCCAGACTAGAAGCTAGAGCCTCCTTGTTCTAAAGTTTTGGACGCTGTCTTCATGCGATCACGGAACTACAGCCTACACAGTAAACGGGAAGGTGCTCCATCCTCCTTGCTTGGCTGCACATTTGTTTCACCCCCTCTACGCACCATTGCTTGAAAACCACTGGTAGACTGATCACTAGGTACAAAGGGAAACACACAGCCTGATTTTCTCTGTTTAGAGATCATTCAGTTATACAGCTGGGACTTCTATTTTCCTGCAGAACAAAATATAGTTTCCTTGTCCTGAAAAAGCCAAAAAGACAGAATCCCTGCCATTTTAAAAGCACTTGATTTTTACTGTGAGGTCCATGTTATGCAAGATGCAGCACAAACATGCAAACTGCATTTTAAAGATTCATCCGGCATTGTAAATAAAAGCCACCTAAACATTCAATTTAAGCTGAACTGGCATTCATCTGTTAAGTGAATAAAACAGAATGCACACACCCAATTGAGCACTTAACAGCTAGTCCTGAAGAACAATCCCAATTCAGCCTGACTGAGCACACCCCACTTCCTCCCACACCACTGTGCTGGCACAGGTGTTGATGTGGTAACACAATGAACCAGTTGAGCTAAAAAATACAGCTCACCAAAAAAAACCCTGCCGTGAATGGATCTGGCTGAACTAATCCACTAATGCCTAATCTAGTTCTACTCACTATTTCCCTAGTTACCAGGATATATAAACACAGTTTCAGGCGCTAGGATACGACCAGAAGGCAGCAGCCATGAGCGCCATGCCACCCTTTCCCCCACAGATGACTGTCCCACAAGCAGGGTGTGCGTTCTTTGCCCTAGAGGATGTAACGTTAAGACGCAGGCATAACAAAAAATATTTGCTAGCACCTGGACTTCCCTACCTTCTTTCATCACCCTCCAGGTTATCCACAAACCATACCTAAGCTAGCATAAAAAACGAAGTTATAGCTGCCTGAATACTTCCAGCATGAAAGGGAGTTGTGAAGTTTCTTTCCTGGCCATTGAAAAAGTATGCTGGAAGCATCACTTGCAAGCAGCTTGGAAGAATTACGAAAAAATCAGAATTTTTAGTCCTCAAAGTCAGGTGAAATATCAGAGAACTGAGAGCGGAAAAGCAATCAGGGACTTTCTCATGTGAGAAAAATTAAGTTTTAAGTGATTTTAAACAGCTTCTAAGCATTACAGCTTGTTTAGATTTTAGAGTTGCCTTAATGAAGGAAAAACGTTGTCCCCCCACATGCTTTGTGTGCCAAAATCCCGAAAGCCACAACAGAGAACACGCACTTAATTACTGTTTGCAGCATATGTCAGCTTGCATAACGTAGCATAGCAGCCAGCACCGCTGCTTCCCATCGCACTTTGTGCCAAGCAATTTCAAACACGCCCTCCATCCACTTGGAAGAAGATACAACTATTTTTTTTTTTTTTTGAAGCTTGAAAACCTGCTCTCCCTGAACACCACAGACACCATCTTGCTTATTAGCCCCCTGATGAGCTTCCGACTCCTTTTTCCGGGGACGGACACCCTCCTCGGCAAGCGCTGAAGCTAAGGCGCCGCCAGGCCTTTCTAAGCGTCAAGGCCTTCTCGGGAGGCAGCGGCCGCCCTTCCGGGCGGAAGCGCGTTCCCCCGCGGCCGCTTCCAGGGGCTCTGCCGCCG